TGTCAAAGAGACGTGGCCTTCCTTTGCAGGCTGGGATGGGCACGACTGCCCATCACCGTACGGTGGTGCCGGTACCGTAAAAGTGCTGGGACTTGGGTTGTGTAGGGTGCTACGATGTGAGAGAGGACACCTGTTACCTCTCTAAGGACAAGCTCATGAGTAGACAAGGAAGGTGGGTTGAGGGGAGATGTCCAGGGTATGCCTAGACCCGATTAGAGTGGCTCTGAGGAAGGATTTCTGTGCAGAAGGGGCTGTTGGGCGTTGGAATGGGCTGCCCAGGGCAGGGGGGAGTCCCCGGGATCCCTGGAGGGGTTGAAGAGTCGGGCTGAGCCAGCGCTGAGGGATCTGGGGGAGTTGGGAACGGTCAGGGGGAGGGTCATGGTGGGGCTGGAGGAGCTGCAAGGGCTTTTCCAGCCGAGATGATTCTGGGATTCTGTGACATTGGAGGGACACTGGGGACATTCTAGAGTTGAGAACAGTCGGGGTGGGGTTCATGGTTGGACTGGGTGATCTTCAAAGTCTTTTCCAACTGAGATAATTCTGTGAAGTCCCCACCATCCCTTGCCAGTGCCAACGTTTGGGTTGGTGGTCTCCAGCATCCCTTCTTGCCAGGGGCAGTGGTGGGATCTGGAGAACCACGGGACAGCTTTTTGTTTTCGCATGATTGCAGCTCTTTGCAGTCCCCACGTGCTTGGCAGAAATTATTACAGCTCTAATTCAAGGTCAAATAACCCCCTCCGGTCCTCTAGCCACCTTTTTTTGGGTCCATGCCCCACGGAGCAGCCAAGGGGTCATCGCCTGCCCAAATTACGACATCACTCCTTGGCTATAAATGGGTTGGACAGGACTGTAGGTCAGATATTTTGGGATGGGAGGTCAGAAGGGTGATGAGTCCTGCTGACGGAGCTCAGCGGTCGATGCTCTCCTGGGCAAGGGGCACCCCAGAGTCCCCGCTGAGGCAGCGGCGCTGGCAGCAGTGCTCATGGAGATGGATTTGGTGTGGACAGGAGGTGAATCCTCCCCCTGGCCCAGGGAGGGCTCCAAGTACCTGGTTTAGGAGCCAGCACTGATGAGCTTTGCACGGATCCTCCCGCCAAAGCCCAGCCCTCTTTGTGGAGAGGCAGAATTTCCTCTACTAATTAAAGTCTTTAGCAGATGAGCACAACCTCTTGTTTTCCAGTCATGAAGCAGACACATGTAAGAGTTGTATTTGAACAAGACAGTAGCCAAACATTTTTCTTGGGGCTAAATTTGGATTAATTTCTCAAAGCTCTTTGCTCAGCCCAAGAAGAGAGTTGCTGAAGTAGTCTCCACTGCTGCGACTGGATCTTGGGCTTCTGCTGTAAAGACTTAGCCTCTCGTTGCTTGAAATTGCTGGGAGATAAAACAAATCCCCATTTAATTGAGCATTTACATCAGCCTGAGCCCTTGCCGCAAGGAAGTAACTTCCCTTTTAAGCCTTGCTGGTGTCATTATTTTGTTGGAATAAGATCCCTGGGGCACACCTGGCAAAGGGCAGAGCTGCTAGAAAAAAATCAATCTGTTTTTTAAGCTATGAATGTTCCTTAAAATGGTGCTTATGGGGTAAAAATGACCTTACCTTACTCAGCAGCCTTGTGCTCCGAGCACTGAGTCAGTCTGGCTGGCTGTAGAGGTCTCAGTCTCCCCAGCCAGCGCAGCTGGGAGGAAAGGAGATGGATTTTCTTCTGGCTCACCCTTTGCAGCAGGATTGTTGAGTGAGGACCCAGACGGGTGTGGAAGGGTTGGGTTCTGCGCAGGTATCAAGGAGGGAAGCGTTTGGCAACAGCATCCTGTGAGTCCTCAGGTGGGAAAAACACCTCGGGTGGTTTTCAGGGCAGAGCCCTGTGCCAGGAGAGAAGGTTGGACCGGTGGAGCGTCAGCATCTGCCCAAAGGCTGCTGAGATGTGGAGGTAACAGATCTCACACAGTCCCTGCCTTTGGAGAGCGATGGTTTCAACCACACTTTAAAACTGCAGCCTGGTCAGGCTTTCACACGGCAATGTGATTTTCTCAGCGTTGAGGGGGGAGAAAGCAAGGAAAACCATGCTGTGTGATGGGGACTTGCCACGGCGCCGTCAGGTCCCTGCAGCAAGGTCGGGCTCCCCACGTGGTGGAGATGTGGTGGGAGCCACTGGTAGAGCCAACACACAGACTGGGGCGCCGAGATGACAGTGAGAGCAGAGGCAGAGGCCTGCTCATCCTGGTGAGCCGCCGTTCCTCCTGAATTAGGGTCTCTGGGCGTGGATGGTTCCTGCCAGAGGTGGTGGGAAGAGGCGACACTGGAAGAAGCTGGTTCCTGGCTCAGTTCCCTCTTGTATCTTCAGTAACCGTAGGTCTGATGGAGCATCATGGGTGAGACCTGCCTTGGCAGCATCTTGGTGGGGTGTAAACTCTTCCATCTAGCAGCATGGTGATCAACTGCAAAACCCCGCTGCCGCTGCAGCCCAGAGAAGAGGTTCTGCTGGGGAAAAGCCTCTGGACTTCAGTCCTCAAGACCTGCAGATCTGCTCCAGCTGCAGAGGACCCGCTCGTCCTGGGAGACGCCCACGGTCCCAGCAGCTGCCTGTCCACCCAGCGGAGCCCGCGGTCGGAGCCTTTGGACTGCAGATACTACAGAACCAAGAAATGTATTTCAGCTAAGATCAAACCAGCAAAGCTTCTGGTTTAGAGGTTCTAAAGGTTTCCCAGCTGGGAGGTTCGCATTGGCTGGAGATGGGCTGACATCCTGGCCTTGTTTAAGGAGCTGGTGGTGCCCAGATCTCCCAGCACCAGGTGTCCTGGGGAACAGGAGCTTGCTTTTTAAATCCTCCCATTCCCCAAATCCTCCCCTGTCTTTGCCTCTTGATAAAGTGGGACACTACAACATCCCCTCTATCATGTCCCAAGCACGAGTGCTCTTGTCCCTTCTTCTGCAGAAGCGGGACACCTTGGGCCAGCTCCAAGGCTCCTCGAACCAAATCCAGGTTGCTCTTCTCACACACATTCCTCTAATCCCCCAAGGTCAAACGTGCCACCCAGAGCCCGATCCGGTTACCTCAGCGCTGGCAGCCGGTGCCATCTGAGAGGCCTGAGGTTTCTTGGACACCTGTGCAGGGCTGGAGACCCGCAGCCTTTCGGAGCAGCGCTTGAAGGCCACGCCAGGGAGATGTTTTATGGGACCTCAAGCAGCATTTGACACCCATCTCTGCAAGTAGCGGAATTTCTCCTCCTCGCTGCATGAAGAATCAGAGTTTTCACCTTAAAAAAAGCCTGAAGGGTTGCAGAGGATAGAAAATCTTTGCAGCATGAAACTATATGACAGGACACGATGCACGAGGTCCAGGATCTCCTCTGTCCCACCATTACCTGCCCAGAGACTCATCTGAAGCCCACCATGGCATGGTGCTGGAGGAGAAGGCTGCCAAGAAGGATGTGCTGAAGTTTTATTTACTCTGTAAAGGTTGCATTGTCCCCACGATCTCTATAAACCAACTTTGCCGTCCGTGTGTGGGCTGAAGAGACGGTGCCAACCTGAATTTCTCCTCTAGCTGCCTGTAAATGTGGAGAAGCAGCCTGTCCTCCCCTTCCTCTGTGGGAATGGTGTCTGTGTGGCAAACTTTGGCCTTGACACTGAAAAACTGGGTTTGATACAAGCAGCAAGTAGCAGGGACCTTGGCTATGGAGTGAAATGAGCCCTGCTCTTCACCTCTGTCTCCCTGCTTCCCTCTCTGCTCCCGCTCTGCCGTTGCAGAAATCCCAGTGCCGGTATTCCTTTTCCCTGGATTAGGCTGCGTGTGTTGGCTGCAGCAGTCTCGGTCAGATTGGCTTCAGTTCCGTACTGTACATCTGGTCCTCATCTGGAGCTAAAAGGATAAACATGTCTGCTGCTTGGGAACTGCTGGCATGTTCGAGCCCTCGCCTTTGTGCCTCTCTGCGAGTGTGATGTGCCACGGCTCTCTTCATCGTGTCAGACCCGGCAAATCCAATTGACTCCAATTAGTCACGTCATTGGAATGTCTCTCATTACATATTAATCTTATTCCCAAAGAATATTGAGCGAGCTTTGCAGAAATCTTATTTTTGCAGCTCAAAGGTTCCCCTTTGCCTTCAGCTGTTTGCTTCCAGCTGCTCTGGCTCCATCCAAGCCTCCCCGCTTTCGTGCCGGCAGGAGTTTTGCTCTGCTTCCCGCTGTCCTGCCCAAAACGCCTGTGGGAGCAAAGCCTGCAAAAGCACCGAATTTTGCTTCCCAGACCTCACCGCTGGGCTTCGTTTTGTGGAGAGGTTCATCCTCACAAGCAGGTTTTGGTACAGGGCTTGAGCTTGAGCGGGCTCAGGCGGTGTCGGAGCCGGGGGACGAGGCTGCAGCCCGTGGGGTTCGCGTGATGCGGCGGGGTGGGAGCGAGTCCCCACGGCTGCAGGGGCTGTGTCGCTCCAGCATCTCCCAGCTCAGCCTCCTCCCTGCTTCATAAATCTTAATGTGGCTCCTCTTGCCTCCTTCTCTCTGCAGCCAGTGCATCACCTCGCAGCTGGACGAGCTCCTGTGTCCTCCCACCACGCCAGAGGGTCGGAACGACGAGAAAGCCCTGCTCGAGCAGCTCGTCTCCTTCCTCAGCGGCAAAGACGAGACGGAGCTGGCTGAGCTGGATCGAGCTCTGGGGATCGACAAACTGGTTCAGGTAAAGAGAGAACCACTCCTGGGACTTACTGGAGGTCGTATACGGGGCCAGATGCTGAGGCTTGACGTGAGCGTGGAGGAGGATTTCCAACATCTGGTAACGGGAGGCCAGATGTGAGTGGGAACACACAAGCGCATCAGATTCAGAGATGATACTTAACACCACGCCGTTCTCTCCCCCCCCCCGCCAAAAAAGCTGGAGAACGGCCCCGTGAAATGTGATATCTCGCTTCTCCGCTTTTCAAACGATCCCCCATGAGAACCAGCAGCCTGGCAAAGAGGCGGCGGAGTGGCTTCAGCCCCGGGGCAGCTCATGTAACGGGGAGGCGGGGGGAAGAGCTGGCAGGCTGTCCTGCTTCCCCACCTTACCGGGGGATTAGGGCACGGAGGAGCCTTCCAGCTGGAATCCCACAGCCTGGGATTCCTGAGCCTGGGTTGTGCTACCTAATAATATATCTAATGGCCTCATTGGTATGAAACCGTGCAGCCCTTACTATCAAGATTGACTTACAGTGCAGCTGCCCTTCTGTCTCGGGTTGAACCGCAGGGGGAAAAAAACTGAAAAAGAAAAAGAAAAAAAAAAAAAAGAAGTTTGCTTTTAGTGCTGCTGTCGTACTCGGATAGTGCTGGGGCCCTGGTTTCTGCAGCTGAGCTCCAGTGGAGGCTCCGTGTTTGCAGATATCCGTGGGGGCAGATGCCTCTGGAGGGTCCAGGGTTTCATAAATAACAAGGCATGGCGCGGGGGGGGAGAAAGCTGGCTGCAGGGGAGTGAGCAAGGGGTGTGGAAAATGAGATGGATCTCTTGGGATTTATCGTCCAGTGGTTTCTTTTTCCGTGCCCCGTAGCACTCACACGCGTGCTTTTTTTTTTTTTTTCTTTTTTTTCCCAAAACAAGGACCACAATCAAAAGCCCGTTAATAAACGGGACGTCCCGTTTGTTAACAAAGAAAGAAGCTTCTCAGAGCAAAGCCCTCTGGGTGCTCGGGGGCTGATCCTGCACCGTTTAAGCCCGGAGGTAGCACATTGTCTGCAGCCTTGCACTGCGCTGCCGGGAGGGTTTTATCTTTTCATCAGCCATCTGGGGGACCTGTCAGTGAATTGATTGCCGAGGCAGGTATTTGCCACATCCCCTTTTCTCAAGGCTGTGCCTCCAAAATCACCACCTGCCTTTGGGTTTTGGGGGTTTTTTTTGCAAGTTAGGGGTAGGGAGTTCAGCTTCTCTGGTACAGAGGATCAGCGATGCTCTTGCCAAAGATGCAGCTGCAACAGCTCAGTGTTTTCAGGAGGGTTTTGCAGACTCAGCTGGCACAGCTCCCCAAAAACCCCTTCCTGCACCAGAGACAGGCTCCAGCAGTGTCGGACGGCCACATGAGATGCCCTCGGATGGCACCCGACACTACCGAGCGTCTCCACGCCCATCCAGCACTTCCCCTGCCGAGGAGCACCTGGCTCGGGGGGATTATCTCATGTTTGGACCCCAACCCAGCTCTGCTCTCATCCAGGGATCATTCCGTTAATGGGAATCTTGGGCTTTTTCCATGGCTTTGGCTTGGACCTCAGAAATATTTTGAATAATTCCATGAAATATTTGCTTGAAATACATCTTTAGAGAAACAACTCGTCAGCATAAAGGCATCTTTGGGAACAAAACGTGTCGCTAGTTCCTCTCCAGGATGTGTTCTTGGCAGGTGGGGGTTGGCATCCCCTGACTTCACCAAACCCAACACCTTCTCCATGCTACCACAGACGTGGTGGGTTGAGGTGCTGGAGATACCTGCACCCAGTTTAATCAGGAGGCAGCTGGAAACTGGGTAGTTTGGGGAGAGAAAAGAGCCTTATTTCCGCAGGTCGGTGGTTTCTGGTCATCACAGGCTGCTGGTTTATGTCCTGGTATCCATATAAACTCCATCTGAATTTATCTTAAGAAATTTATTTTTCCTCACCACCAGTTTAACTGATCCTAAGCTTCCTCACCACCAGTTTAACTGATCCTCAGCAACGTATTTTTCCCCACCACCATTCCCATATCCTTGTCTCTGCCTGCAAGCCTCAGTCCTTTGATGGGCACCATCTAACCAAATCCCAAAGGCAGTGGCATTTGCCAGGGAGTTGTGTGTGTGGTTTCTCCTAATGCCGCTTTCTGTTAATCCCCAGGACTCGGATTAAGGATTCTGGCTCCCAAGGTGTTCCTTCTCTGTGGGTTCATAGCTCAAACAACAAATTTCTCTGCCTGAGCCAAGCTAGAGCAGCGCAGAGTATCTTCTTATCATGATTTGCTGATGTGGAAATCATGCCCTGGCTGTAATGTGGCTCATTTGTAGAGGAATGACTGTACTGTAGACCAAAAGGTCCCGTCTGCCCTGGGCTCCTCGCAAGGGATGTTGGCCAGTGAGGTACAGCCGGGCTTCCCCATGAGCTCTCCCCGTCCTTGGGGCCCGTGGCTCCCACCCTTGGACATGGCCTGTGTGCAGGGTGCTCTTGGGGCGGATGGGGACCCAAAACACCCCACCCTCTGCCTACAGCCGAGCGCCTGAGGCTGCATAAAAATAGGAAAGGAGAGCAAACACAAACTATTTCCCATGTTCAGGTCGATCCTCTGAGCCTTAGGGTCTGTCCAGCCAGGTGTGTGGAGATGAGCAGCTCAGTGCCAGCAAACCCTGCAGAGGAAGGCAGAGAAAAAGGCAGAGGAAGGCAACATCACTTGATTCCTGGGTTGTTTTGGGGCCCTCACCCCAAAAAGGCCATTGAATGACTCGAGCGTGGCCAGAGAAGGGCAACGGAGCTGGGGCAGGGTCTGGAGCACAGGTCTGCTGGGGAGCAGCTGGGGCAACTGGTGGGGTTCAGTCTGGAGAAGAGGAGGCTGAGGGGAGACCTTCTCCATCCCCTCTGAGCTCACCCGGGAGAGGTCGGGTGCCAGTGGGAGTGGTGTTTTTCAAGTGATATTTTTATTAAGTGATATTTTTCCTCCCTCTTTGCCTTGGCCAGGGTGGCGGGCTGGAAGCCCTGACGGAGCGGTTCCAGCCCCAACAAGCCACCCCACCGCTTATGATGGAGCAGAAACCCGGCATGTACCCCCAGCCTTACTCCTCCGCCTCTCCCACCACCAACCTCCCCGGCGCCTTCCCCGGCATGGTCCGGCAGAAGCCGTCCTTCGGCCCCATGCCCGTGCAGGTCCCACCGCCCCGCGGCGCCTTCCCCACCAACATGGCCATGCAACCCCGGCAGACGCTCAACAGACCCCCGACGGCCCCCAACCAGCTGCGACTTCAGCTGCAGCAGCGGCTGCAGGGCCAGCAGCAGGTAATTCGCCCCCCTTTGCACCCCAACGCCGCGGGCAGGAGGACGGAGCCACGCTGAGTCCTGCCTGCAGCCCGCGCGTCCCGCTGGGGAGGGATCGGATGGCTGAGAAGCTCCTGCATCAGAGTTTTGAAGGTCTCTCTGGTTTTTCTCGCCCCCCACCCCCCCC